CTCCTATACCGCGGAATCCGCGTGTGTATTATCTAATTTTAGGTGATTGGTATGGATAGAGTACAAGTGCATCCCACTGCATTTGTGGATCCCGCTGATCCAGGAGCTGGCACGAAATTCTTAGCCGCGGAAGCTTTGAGAGGAAAGGGAGCGATTTTGGTAAGCTATTTGTTCAATTTTAACAGACTACAAGATTGGGTCGTTATATTTTTTTTCAGATCAACATGGATGGAGTTCGCTTTGCCAATGAGCTAGGTCGACGTGATTATCTGACTGGTAGAATTCTGCAGGATTGCAAACCTATCGTAAAATTCAATGTAAGTTCTGTTTCTTTTGATTCCGTTAAATTCTTGTTTACGGTTTTCTCAGCGCTTGTTTTTTTCCACTTTAGAACGGCTCCGCTGGTCTGACATCAGCTATCATGCTCATGAATGACGAGGCAGTAGATGGTTTTGGTCGAGCATCTTTCAGTTTCTATCATATCGTTAAGAAATTCTTCACGGTAAGTTTTAACCCAGGAATTTCCTAAGCAATGCAATTATTGTCTGAGCTTTGATGTGTCCCAAAAATTTTTATTAAATTTTTTTCAGAAATATGATACCATGGAAGCTTTTGCCACCGCTGCCGACATACCGTATCCCAAGCTCAAACAAACTATCGAGGATTATAACAAGTATGTAGAGAAAAACAAAGATGGCAAAAAAGAAAAGGTTTGAATTCCGCTGCCACAAACACCCCAAGCTTCTATTTTTTCTTTCCAGGACTCCTTTGGAAAGACAGTGTTCCCCGTAGCTTTTGATCTGAATAAACCAGTCTACGCAGCTATAATCACTCCTGCTATTCACTATACCATGGGCGGATTGAAGATTGATAAGCAGGTAATTTTTGTAAATTTATTTATATTCTTAGGGATTTTTAATACAAGGTTTATAGGCACGTGTGATCAACGAGTACACCACGGCACCATTCAAGGGACTACTGGCAGCTGGAGAAGTTACTGGTACGTTTGAGATCATCATCATTTTTTGTTCTGTTTTATTATCATCCAAATTTTGTAATTTTTGTACTTTTTCTGATTTTATTCATTGATTGTGTTGTCCATCCATCCAGTTGAGCAGCTTAATTAGCTGGGGCATAGTGTAAGTGTAATAATTGACTAACATACGAATGCTATTGTCATCAGCACGACATTTTTGTGCTAAATTGTTCATATGTTGTGGCCGTATATGGTAGAAATGCATTACTTTATCTATGGAGTATCGCATATTAAGGTTCAAAAAACTTCGCATAGGAGTTCAATTGATCAGTCATCTAAAAAAGATCCAATATTTTTTGCCCACGTGGGTATTTTCTGCTTCTCACATTAGAGATTAGACTTCAGTCATGTTACCATATATAATTTACACTTTTTATTTCTATTAGATTTTACTTGTACTGTGTTCCGGTTGAAAATTTTATCTTTGTCAATTTATCTACACCATTTCTCATTTCTAGGTGGCGTTCATGGTGCCAATCGACTTGCCGGAAACTCCCTACTTGAATGCGTTGTATTCGGAAGAGTGGCTGGACGAAATGCTGCAGCTACGAATTATT